GGACGACGACGAAGACGATGATGATGAGAAGGCCGGCAAGGGTCACAAATCGAAACTATCAACAACGTCAGCGAGTAGCGAGCCATCTGGCGGAATACGACGCCGACAGAACAATTTACCGCCGGAACTCCGATTAATCGACCTGAGCTCGCAAGCCGAAGTCGATAAAGATGGCCTTAGTGTAAGCAGATATGAGAGGCTGTCATCGGGCGACTACCATCTCGGCGTTCTCCCTGCACAGAACGCAGCCTCGGCGGTGGCTTCATCCAAGGGAGCCCTGGAAGCAATCACGGGATTTGGCTCAGATATGTGGAATGCCGCCATCAATCCCAGGACACTATTTAGCTCTGGTGCAAGTATCAGGAGTGGACACAGCGGAGACGGTGTCTCTAGCACGCAGCTCCCGAGCTCAGTTAGTGGCGCCCGGAGATCAGGAACTCCTACAGTCCATCCCAACCTCATCAAGCCAGGAGTAAAGATCTTCATCCACAGCCCATTCGATTTCATTCTCGGAACGAAGAGAGACCTTGGCGACCATTTGGGCTGGCTGCTGGAGCACCAAGACTATCAGAAAGCATGGGAATTGCTTGACGAGCACCCCGAGATCATGGCTGCACCTCCAGAGAACCTTCATGAGCTCGTTCCAACAACGCCAGACAGAAAGCAAAGCAGCCAAGAGGACTTTGACGATGCCTCATCCGTCATGGGGTCTACGGGGCTAGCAAGACAGCCTAATTCCTCGGCGCAGAGGGAGAAGAGACGCATCGGCGAGCTTTGGATTCGGGAGCTGATTGAGGCAGGTAGCTGGGCTGAAGCCGGTAAAGTGTGTAGCAGAGTCCTTGGCTCTCCCGACAGATGGGAAAAATGGGTCTGGACATTTGCTGGCGCCGACAAGTTCGACGAGATCACGGACTACATTCCTTCTGAGCCGATGTACCCGCCGATCCCAGGCACAATCTACGAAGTCGTCTTGAATCACTACATTCAGGCAGACAAGCTGAGATTCAGAGAACTGCTAGACCGCTGGCCGACGGATCTCTTTGACATCAAGACCGTCACCACAGCCTTGGATAACCAGCTCAAGTACCGCGATGTACGAGAGGACAGCGTCGAGGGGGGTGAGAAGGGTCGCGACTGGAAGATTGTGATGGAGTCATTGGCACGCTTACACGAGGCAAATGGACGCTTCAGGGAATCGCTCAAATGCCACATTAAGCTACAAGATGCGGACTCTGCGTTCCGCTTGATCCGCGACAACCATCTCGCCGAAGCAGTGACTGACGACATTCCCGGCTTCATCGGATTGCGAGTGCCGAACAAAAAGCTCGGAACCATGGGGCCAGACGAGCTTGAAGCCGCTACCTCGGAGGCCATCACTCTCCTCGTTGACGAAGCACAGCATGGTCTTGTCAAGCCTTCTGTGGTTGTATCGCAGCTCGAGGAGAAGGAACTCAACCTGTATCTCTTCTTCTACCTGCGCGGTTTGTATAAGGGCGAGGGAATAGAGGAGCATTCCGGGGAGACTCGCGACAGGCTGCTGATGGACAGCCAATCCCAAGTTAACGAATTTGCGGACATGGCTGTTCAACTGTTCGCCAAGTACGATCGGGACCTTTTGATGAGCTTTTTAAAGTCCTCGACCTCCTACAAATTCGAGAAGGTGAGTAGAATTTTCATCTACAATATTGATGCCGATGCTCTGGCATTCCTGAGACCTAGTTTGCAAACTAACGACCGCAGGCTGTCCAAGAATGTGAAAAGTACAGGTACGACGACGAGTTAGTACATTTGTACTCCAAAACAGGCGAGATGAAACGAGCGCTCTATCTCATCATTGATCGACTGAAGGATGTCAAGAAGGCAATCGATTTTGCGAAGCAACAAGACGACCCTGATCTCTGGGATGATTTGTTGAACTACAGCATGGACAAGCCAAGCTTCATCCGCGGCCTTCTCGAGGAAGTCGGAACAGCCATCAATCCCATTAAGCTCGTGAGGCGCATTCCTGAAGGACTCGAAATCGAAGGCTTGCGAGAGGGCTTAAAACACATCATGAAGGAACACGAGATTCAATACAGTATCAGCTCGGGTGTTGCGCGGGTACTCCGAAGTGAGGTCGCCGCCGCACAAAATGACCTGCGAAGTGGGCAGCGGAAGGGAATCAAGTTTGAAGTCGTCGTTCAATCAACGGATCATGTCGACGTCAAGGTCAGAGACGTCGTGCATCCGCCAGTCAGTGCGGAGGAAGTGGAAGAGAGCTTCTTCAAAGCACCAAAGGCGGTGGAACAGCCTGGCCACACGCATCAGCCGCCGAAGCCTGGCCACTGCGCTCAGTGCCACGAGTCCTTCACAGAGTACGAGATGGAAACCTTGGTTGGATTCGCTTGCGGGCACGTCTTCCATCAGTCACATCTCATGGAAATGCTTTACCCCGGCAAGAGACAAGAGGCCGACTTTGGGCTGGCTAGCGAGGAGTCGATCCGAAGCGGGTATCGCGTTGGCTCAAAGGTTACGCATGCGCGGTTGCTCAAGGACCGAGTGCGGGAGGGTTGTCCTGTCTGTACCCACGGGACGGAAGTACCAGTGTAAGGGAGGTTTCGATATCCAGTGACGAAATGTATACGGCGGCACAGCCATCTTTTGATCTTCGGGCCTTGCTCATTCTGTACTATATACTATTCGCGTGATTCGCCCACGTACATTTTAAAATTTAATGCCCATCCTGTCCTCTATTGTGCTCATCCCCAATTCCACGTAGCATTAAACCCGGTCTCGCGCTTCTTCTACTAGCTTATTTATTGTCGAGAATTCTAATGGATGACAGAACGTGAAGATAATCTGGATGCGAATAGCAACATTAATGTTCACATGGTTGGTCACTACGTTGCGTCGATTGGCGCACTCCAAGAAGCACGGGCCGGGCGGCAGGTCACCTCACTCTCCCCCAACCCCCCCACACGGTACCAGGTACCCCACGCCCACGTTTCCCCTTGGATGGCGCGAACGACATGTCACTCCTTCAACCTCGGCCTGGAGGTGTGTCGCCGTCCACCTCTCCCCATCCTTTCCCCAACTCATGCATTCCGCGACGTATGCAAAGGGGAAACGATATGGCGTTTTGGGATACCTACCGGAGCCGGGCTCAAGGGAGGCTGAGCTGTGAGTGTTCACCCTGTACCGTCTTTTGCTACGCTTGCCCCCCCCCCCCCCCCGCGGGACAATGCCAATTGGGAGTTATGCTGATCTGGTTATCATGCCACAGATGGGAGCTGAACCGAACGCAATCTCCTTTCCTGCGCCTCCCGCCAGAAATACGCAACAAGATCTACCGTCTCCTCCTATCCAACATGGGCATCCACGTCCTCCACGACCCTAAAACGGGATCCTTCCACTGCCTCACGCTCCGACCCGGCGCGAACCCCTGGACCTCCGTCCCCGCGACTACTTCATCCCCCACGAGGCAGATAGTAGAACCAGAAAGAGGAGATACCACCACCAAGACCAGCACCAAGAAGAAGAGGTCTTCACGACAGCAGGCCGCGGTCCTGGGACGGGGGCTGACACTGCTGGTGCTGGTCTGTAGACAGCTCTACCACGAGACGGAGCTGATTCCATACCGCGAGAACGCGTGGAGCTGGGCTACGCCGGGGTTGATGGAGCGGTATCTGCTTACGGAGCGGCGGATGGGGTTCGCGCAGAGGAGGGTGCTGAGGGAGGTTTGCGTTAGAGGGATTGCGGGGTTTGGGAATTGTAGTCGGAGGGTTAGGGGGGTTTTGGGCGGGTTGGAGGTTGTTTGGTTTTGGGAGGGGGGGAACGCGGAGCAGGGGAAGAGGGGGCTTGGGGGATGGGTTTGTGAGGTTGTTGAGAGGGGGAGGGTTGAGGTTGGTGTTGGGAAGCCTAATTGAGGGATCTTAAGGGATCTTGAGGGTGGCCATCGAGGTTTGTGGTAGGCAGAGGGTCTGGCTATAGAGGAGGGCAATGTACTCTATAGCATCTACGAGACATGAGGCTATGAGGCTGATGATACTGGGCATGTGGGAAGACATGTGATGATATAGTCAGTAGAATATGGCGGTACTCCTATCAAAACAAGATGTTACTTGGCTACTGGGACAGCATTCAACCATCTTCATGCCTCCTGAACCCGTCGACGAGCAACGATAATGTCCTCTACAATTACCACGAGGCCTGGCTTTGTCCATCTTGACACTCGCTAGCTACAGTACATACAGAAGCGAGTAAATCTCAGCCTCGCAGTGGAGTCGGACGCAACTGGAACAAACAAGAACCTTCCGGGCCAAGTGGCCACTTTCGGAGCCGAGGGCCGGTGGTGCACCGAAGTTTTCGGGGCTCTCGGCCCCGTGGACCCACATCGGGCCTACCGCAGTTGAACAACACACCAAAGTCAGCACAGCACAAGGGAACCCATCGCCGCAGAAACGACAGAGTTTTCACATGGAGGGAAAGTGGAAGGAGCCAGATTCTTGTGGGTGGTTCTAGCTTGTTTTGGGGGCTTGATTGAAGGGCGGAAGAGGGGCTTCTTTGGTGTGTTTGGCGCCCTTTGAGGGGATTTTTGGTGGTGTTGTGATGCCGCGATGGGAGATGAGGATAGGTACGAAAAGCAGGAGACTGTAGACATTGATCCATTTGATCTATGAATAGACTGTCTAATGGCGACGACATTGATTGCGATTCTAGCCGCCGCGGTCCCGCCAGCGCGGGGGCGCTATTCCAGTGTTTGGTTCTATGTGATGGGAATAGCAGCAGCTTCGATAGTCGTCAACACAAGGGCTTCTTTGGTGGTTTTCCGAGCCTCAGCACTGCTTATGGAATGCCGCGATGGCTTCGTAATAGTATAGAGGGTACTGGAGTCCGGCGATGCTGATCTATGGATGAGCAGATAGATGGATTGCTCCGTTCGCAGAATCGATGCTCTGGAATCGTGATATTCTGGTCTGCGAGTCTAGCCTCAGTGTCGCAATGGCTCCGGTGTTTTTCGATTACGCTGACGTCTTGCGATATTCATCAATGGACGTCGTGATCTATAAAGCAGATTGTTTTGTCAGTAGAATTGAGGCTTTGAAATGTTGATATCCTTGCTTCTGAGTCCAACCTTCATGCCGCGAACCTCGTTACGAAGCGCGTCGTCTCTGTCGGCCTCAAAACACCATAACGAGAGTCTCTTGGGCGGTACACCATACGGACTGCTGGAGCGAACTACAGTCGTCTTGCGCGAATACTGCTGAATGACGGTGATGTCGCTTACGGATATTATGTGCAATTCCAGTAGCGCGGCACATCGTGGCGGCGGTGTGACAGCTTCACCTCTCATTTTGTGGGAAACACCAAAATAAGGCTCGAAATGGCATCGCGAACGGTCCTGGCCGGCGACAATAGTATCACACATCATGGGATTAAACACCTCACTAGCAAGGCAAAGTCACATCAAAGAATGCAGTCAAATAATGAGGAATCAAGAGAGAATTTTATGACGAGGTAATCTCAATTTTCTGTAATGAGGCCTTTGACCCAAATGCTACTTGTATGCATCCGGACCCTGTATGCCTATGAAGAACCTGAAACCCGTGATCCTTGATGAAGTTCCAATTCCTTAGCTCAATGGCTCAAACCAATTCCCTAGTCCATCCATTCCCTTCAGGCCATTCCAAGTGAGGAACTGCCAACGAGTGCATAGCTAGACTTGACTTCCTTAGAGGAAGTACATGATGATTGCACCAGCGATGGCGCAGAAGACCATGATCTCGGTCTGAGAGGCCTCAGACGAGGCAGTGGGAGTGGCGACAGTCTGGGTGCCAGTGCCAGTCATGCTGACAGTGCTGGAAGTTCCCTTGATCTCGGAGGAGGTGCTGGTCTTCTGAGCAGAAGAGCTCGAAGCAGACTCCAAGATGGAGGTGGTGGTGCCAGCGGTCTCAGTGGGCTCAGAGACGCTGAGAGTGTGGGTGACCTCGATGGGGTCACAGACCTGGATGGTGGTCATAGAGCACATGGACGAAGTAACCACTGGAAAATCCAACGCGTTAGAACATTGTGATCCCAAAGAATAAATGGAATTCAAACTTACCAGTGAACAGGTTCGACTCGATGACGGTAGCGTGACCCAGACCGGGATCCTCGATGAAGGTGGTAAGCTCGTACGAGGCAGTCTCTGGATGCGTGTGAGCCTTGATACTGCGCTGCGCGAATGCTCGAGAAAGGAAAACTTACCGGAAGCGCCATCATGCTGAACCATGGCGGTCATCGTAGGGCCAGTGCCCAAGTAGAAGGTGTAACCCTTGGCGATGGAAGAGGCGCGCATCTTCACGGTTGATTGGGTGGAGGGAGTATGTGGTATGGATAGTGTGTATGGGATACAAGGTGCAAAAGTGCGGTTGCTTGTGGGCAAAAGTGTGTGACGGATCTGCGAAGTTGAAGAGTGGGTGAGAGGGAGGGGAAGTTTGGGAGAGGGAGGGGAGAGAGAAGATCTTTTTGTAGAGGACAGCAGGAGGGCAAAGGCGACGGGATCACTCAGGGCTGGGTGGGTGGTTGAACCACCCTTTTCGATACCTTAGGCCGTGTCAACAATGAGGCTGTTGAGGAGGAAGTTCGTGATAGTTGGAGGTACGTACGTACCTCTGGATCAACTGGTGATTGGCCAATTGGGGTGGTTTTGCGGGTTGAACATCTGATTTTGAAGGCGAGAGCTATGAACGGGGATTAAAAAGAGAGAACGGTGCTTCGGAATTTTCTCATTGGTCGATCTAATGACTTAAATCACAGATTTATTATGAAAAGAGCGGGTTTGAGTGAGACTGGAGGCGGGTAGATCACAGATGAGGCGAGAGCCGGGGGATACAGAAGTTCATAAACAAGGCGAGAGCCAGGGCACGCAGAATTTCACCAAAGAGGCGAGAGCCAGTTGACCACAGGTCATCTCAAAGGACGAGAGCAGACGATCTGAGCCACATGCCTTTGAAGTTGGTGATCTGCATATGTTGCTTAATAGGTTGGCGAAGTTGATCACAGGAAAAGCGAGAGCAGACGAGTGAGAGCCAGACTTCTTGGTTATGAAGATGTTGATGAAGATACTCAAGAAGAGGGAATAACGGCTCACGAACAAGGATGCGGCTGGCTGTTTGAGTTCAGATTCAGAGGGTGAGAAAGCATAGGGTGCGAACTGCATGGACATCAAAATTAGCATATAGATGGCGTACTTGAATGAGGCAAGATATGGGACAGGCAAATCACATATTGAGCCGGAGAAAGGAGGCCAGAGGGAAATTCTTCACAAAGAGCGAGAGCAGGCAAGTTGAGCTCCATGGTAAGAGATTTGCCCATAAGGATAGCTTGTTTGGGTGGTTTATGAAGCGGGAATAACAGCTGACAATGAGGCGAGAGCAAAGGACTTTGGGAGGGTAAGGCTTCCTTAAAATGGGACTGGGTAGACTCGCGCTCGTATTTTCAGAATAGGCACAGCAGCTCACAGAATAGGCGGGAACTCAGGAGAGTAGAGATAGACTTGAATTGGCGAGAGCAGATCACATTTGTCCAAATCTTCATAAGGGGTTAATTTGCTTCGGTTGATTGAAAATGGGCAAGGCAGATCATGAAAAGGGCTAGAGCTGGAACTCGGGTGATGTAGAAATGATATACGAAAGCAGAAGAAAATGATGAGAGCAGGCGGAAAGGGCGGGAGCAGAAAATTATGGGATGGATGAATTACTTCTCTTTGTGAAAAAAGGAAAAAAGGAGAGAGCAGAAAATAGCAGTGGCTGGTCTTGGTGTGAGAGCATTCGGTGATGGACTATCCAGACTGCTGATCTGAGTTCATTTCAATGGAGGCAAAAGGTGGAGAAAAGGATGGGCATTTCAGGCTGCCTGGACCTGTCTTTTAGCTGTCATCCACAAGGGATGGAAGCGCTCGTCTGATGACTATTTTCTTCTATTGACTGACGTGGTGTTTGGATAAATTTCAGATAGAGGCTTGTTTGGACGAAATTGCTTCATCGGATGCTCATTCAAATATTATCTACATGAAAAAGAGCCATGAAATCAGACGAAAGAGAGAAAATAAGACCGATGGCAGTTAAGCAAATGCGCAGTGTTCAAAGGTGTTTGGATGCAGAAATATGATGGAGAAAAACAAGACTGGGGTGAAGTCTGTTCAGACATACGGCAAGTATAGTCAACCGAATCATAAAGACAGCCTTTATGGCAATGTGCAATGCTTTTAAGAGACCGTTGTTAGGCCGATGGGTTCTGCACTCGCGATAGCATTTGTATGAGAACAGCTACTCGCTAGGCGGGGACTGAAATCAATAAACAGGTCAAAAAGCTGACCTTCAGTGCCGACAAATCGACTTCAGTGCAGGAAACTCCAGAAGAGCACAGAAACATCTGGAAAGACATGACATTATTTTGCAGTCCTTGTAGGCTTGGCCAGGCGATGTTGATGTAATAGATCGATGATAAAAGGCATCTCTGTTCTTCAATCAAGCCAACTCCGCGCTTGATCGTTTGTTTTACTACCACTATGGAGTGGAATGCCGGATCTACAACTTACAAGTAGAGAATATTTGATGGCATTATCCCGGCGGCTATAACATGAATATTTGGAACTTTGTCAAATTTGAATGAACGAGGTGTCAATATGTGAGAAAGCGAAAGTAGCCCTTCGCAGAGCGGCGTGTGGTTTCGGTACCACTGTGGTCGGCAAGCTGGTCAACAAGGCTGAAAATGTGAGGCTGAGGATGGACTCCGTCTCGTCAGAGCCCCTAGCTACAAGGCAAAACATGCACAGTCGTTAAAATATGTCCTGATATTGTCACTGTTCTTTTCTGTCTTGACAGAAAGGCTAAGCAGAATGGCAAATGGATAGACAGGACTTTTGAATCGATCAAACATCAAATTTGGATGTGCGTAGATAAACACCACACTCTTCTACGAGTGAAGCATAGATTCGTTGGGAGTCACACTTTTAAGCCTGACGGAATATGAACATGAGACGAAAAATTTATGCTCCCCCAAGTTTCCCGCAAAGATATTTGACAATTCGTCGTCGAGTAAGGGCTCTCTATATTGATTGCGTCCTTCGCTATGACGCTTAGCATCACACGCCGACCCTGAATGATCCCTATATGAGCAATTTCAAGAGCATGAGGAAAGCAGGACGGCCGTACGCCTACGACGACGTTCTCGGAGACGAGGAAAGCGAAGGCAGTGCGTAAGATCTACTGAGGTGTTCAGCGAACTTGGATGAGAGAGTGATGGAGGGAATATAGGCTGATGCTAGATGAAGTTGGAACGTCTCTCTTGGTGGATTGCAATCGCGCAGTGAGATTATTGAAAGTGGAAAAGGAAGATAGTTTCTTAAGGGTGAAGGACGAAGGTAACACCATAATTTGGGACATATCAGTACTTCGACAGTAAGAATAAGTTAATCCCATTGGCAATGTAGATATTCGTAAACCAAAAGTCGTGCGATGAATTAAGAAACACAAGGTATCGCAGTGAAGTCACTCACAATGCAGATGAAGAAAGCCTGAAAGTAAAGATATAAGTGAGGAAGGGGTATCATTCATCATTAAATCATCATCCACCACTAAGTCCTCAAACCATCAAACCATCAAACCACACATTACACTCTTTCCTACCCTCACCCAAAGATCCCAGCGACAACAGCCATAACACCAACATAAACTCCAGAAGCCAATACCCCCTCCGTAGCAGCCACCCTCGCAGGACGATCCGCCCCAAGACTACTAAACAACCCCGCCTGCACCACACCAGCAGCAACGCCAACAGCAACAAGCAACACAACAGCCATACGCCCCACGAACCCCGGAATCACTGCAAACGCTAGAATCGGCAGCAAGAACGCTGCGGCAAAAGCGATGGCGAGGGTGGGCAGGTACCCCGTCAGAGCCGAGATGAGCAGGCGACGGATACGCTCCGCCCTATCTGCGCTTTGATTTTCTGGAGTCAGCAGGGAGGAAAGGGAGGGCAATTTTGCGTTGCGCGGTTGAGGGGTGCGGAGGTCGTCGCTCGAGAAGCTGGAGCTTGAGGCGGATGATGATGAAGAGGGTGGGCGGGCGAGGGAGACGAGGTCGTCTGCGGGATCGAGGAAGCGTGTTTCGATTTCGACTATGGGGTTGTGGTTTGCGAGGTAGGCGCGGTAGAAGTCTACGTCTTGGGGGTCTGGGTTGGGCAGGTGCTGTGTCTCTCTGAAGGATGAGAGGACGTGGTCTGTGGCCGTGTTAGAGGGAGGGAAAATTGTGGGATTGACATGAGGGGTGACTTACTGTATTGGCTGAGTTTGTAGCCAACTTTGCCTAGAATATCCGTCTTGTGCCACTGTAGCTCGCCCGCGGTTAGGGAGTCCTGCCTCCTCGACGCTGGCAGGAAGCAGTTCTGCATCCGCCGCGTCTGCGTGTCGGCCGTGTCGAGGCGGTGGAGCTGCTCCTCCAGCTCGGCAAGCTCGTCCTGCAGGTGAAGCAGCAGGCGGTGGTTGAGAGCCTCGAAGCGCCGGTAGATGGGCTTGATGCTTGACCTCTCCGTGTCGTCGCCGGCGCATAGCTTGGAAGCGATCAGCTCGTATCCCGTGAGCGGGAGCTTCTCTGCCCTGGGTAGGTGCTTTGGGTGGCCGTGATGCGTGCCGGGGAGACGGGGTTGGAGAGCGTTGGGTGGAAGGTGAGGCAGATTTGCGGTCCCGCGCGGCATCTCGGGGGTGCCGTAGTGGCGGTAGTCGCGCTGCCGTTGGCCGTGTCCGTGACCGGGGGGCATGGGGACCTCGAACTTGCCGGGCATGGAGGGAGAGTCTCCGTAGATGCTGTGATCTGGGCTGCTGCTCCTGTCGGTCTCTTGGTCGCCGGCGCCCATCTCGGAGAAGACATCGCTCTGGAAGCTGCTTGAGGCAGTCGAGGTTGTGCTCCGCGTCGAGGGCGACTGGTAGCTTGCGGCGGCGGGGTCGGGCATCCTCCAGTAGGACGACTGCTCGACGGAGCGCTGGATGGCTTCAGGGGTTATGTTGGGTGAGTCTGGTTCGAGGTAGCTCAAGACGTTTGATGAGGAGAGCTGCTGTTGGGTCTTTGGTGAGCGGCTTTGGCGACGAGTTTTGAGGTATGACTTGTCGTGGGCTCGCGACTTTTCACTTCCTCTGCGCCTGGGCCACGATGCTTGAGTGATGGTTGAGCCGCTGCCACTGGAGCTGCCGGAGCCGTGAGTTCTCTCAGTGAGAGCTGTGAAGCTGGTGAGGGTAGACTCTGTAGGTGATGCTGGGCGGACTGGCGATTCCTGGTCCTGTTCTTTCTCGGCAGGGATCACCGTCTCATCTGAGGAAGATTCTTGATCCGCGGTAGTGATGAGTTGATCGGAGACAGATCGCGTGGGCTCCATGCCAAAGATGCGACGTCGCGTCGGCGAGTCTGGGTTGGGGGCGGGCATGGACGAGTGCCTCCGGACAGTTGCGCTCCTGGGGCGCGATCGCGGGAGTCCAACTGGCGTTGACGTGTCGTCGGCCGGCATGTGATGGTCTGGATAACCTCTAGGCACAACAGTCTTATCGCTGGTGGCCTGAGCAAACGGCGACGAGGGGGCCGGCGCCGGGACGGCGTCGACGACGCGCATGAGCTCGTCGACCGGGTCCGAGGCTAGCCACCCTTGATCTGTGGTGTGGCAGTCGTCCATGGTGGTGACAGGGACATCGGCCACCGAAGGAGGGTGATAAGCCGTGGACATTCTGGTGTATTGAGTGTACGGCCTGAATCAAGTGATGGACGTCGGGATCAGGAGTTGGGCGAATCTCTCCCTTGAGTTAAGCTTAACGGGACGCCGAACCGAAGTTAGGGTGTCCCTCGCGGTTGAGTAGCTGGATCGCTCGAGTAGGTATAGCAATGTACGGATATTCGAACTGACACGAGCTGGAATGTGGCCCGTTGTATGGCGAAGGATGTCTCAGATTAGTAGATCTAGGGCTACTGCGAGTCGCACACGAGGTCGCGGTAGCTTAATACACATTACTAGAAGGTCGCATTGGTTGACAGTGAAGATGAGAAGCGCACAAGGGAGTGCCGGGCTCCAGCAGAAGACGAAAATAAAGGAGAGTTGAGGAATGGGTGTGCCCTCAAACGCTTGCTCAGAAGTTTGGGAGGGACGGGATCGGGTTGGGGAACTCCTGGGACGTTCAGTTCAGATTCTGGGGAA